TACTTTTGAGACGAGCCCAGACGAGCTATTTTGGTTTTTTTTTTGTTTTGTTTTTTCCCCTTTTTTGAGAAGTCAACATGATGATTGAAAATAATCGCAAGGAAAATGGTGTTCATTACCCCAGGAATACAAGCTAATTTGACTTTGATCTGTTGACAGGACATGCGTACCTCTCGTCTTCGACAACTTTCCACTGACGAGCGGCAGTGCCGGTCTTATCTTACCCTTGCCTCGGAGACATTAGATATGATGCTTTACCTCACTAAACATGTACAGGCGCCTTTTCTTAGGCCGGTAAGTTTCAACAGATTTTACATTTGTCTTCTTTTAAGGTTAAAGGATTGTGGTATGACGTCGTTTAAGTGGCTGGGGCGTTAGCCACGTTCTGGCCATTTGCCTTACCAGGACAACGATCATATTCAGTTGTATGTATCCCTCGAGGGATGCGATGTGCTTCCGAATGTAATATCTACTGTATTAAGACGACAGTCGAATCAGAATTTCATTGGCTGGAATTCGTTCTATGTTATATTTTACTGTCTCAATTAGTTAGGTGCCATTGGAACAAACGCGTTGCATTTTCTGTAAGATTATATTAGATTTAGAGTTGTGGTCAATATCGGCAGTGCGACTGTGAGAGTGTTACGAAAACCAGGCTAGCGTGTATGTCCTTGTTTCAGTCACTGAAGGCGTGAAATCATACAAATCTTTGTACCGGTCTTCCAACTTTTCGCTTATTTTCTTATTTGCAGGAATTGATTGATCGAATAGCTGCTATGTTGAATTTTAACCTACAACAACTTTGTGGACCGAAGTGCAGGAATTTAAAGGTAATGTTTTGTCACTAGATTGATCCTGTACCAGAGCAAGTGGGGGCTTTAGCAAACATGTATTGGTGGGTTATAGTTAGAAATCGGTTTAAAGACATATGTTATAGCAGTTTCATTCATTATTTTACGATGGCGTCGATCTTTCTGCAGGTTAAAAACCCAGAAAAATATGGATTTGAACCCAAGACTCTTCTGGATAGATTAACACAGATTTATGTGAATCTAGACTCGGAAGAATTTGCAAAAGCTGTTGCTGGTGACCAGGTATGAAAAGAATCAATAATTCGTAACGTCTGGATGTGGTGTTATTCAATTTTATGAACAGTGATAACGAACTTCCAGTTACACCTAATTACAAAAACTTTTACCGAAAAAAGCAAAAACATGGGAAAAGCCAAATAAGCACAATTCATATATAACTTGATTACGTTGTGGTTTTTAGGTGGTTTTCAAACAATTTCCACTGAAATATTCCCACAAACTTTCTGAGATTATCAGATGTATGTTCACAACTGTCGAGCGATTCCTAAAATGAAGTTGGTTTCTAAATTTGCAAAATATCAGCGTTTGGGCGCATTATGAAATAACTATCTTCTTGACTGTTGTTTAAATTGCACTCTCAGGTAAGCATAAGCTCGGATAATTCGATCACTTCAAAAAGGAAATGATTTTTGAGAATTTCGTGGCATTTCAAAACAAGTATCAAATACTCATTGGATTTGCATGATCTTTCTGTGGGAATTTAGTCAATATTTCGTACTACTAGGGTGAGCGGAGTGTCGTTACCATGCAGAACACTAACAATTTTCGGAAACGTTTGACATGTCTAGACAAACACCAGATACTCTAAAAAGCCTGAAAGAACCCATCAGTGGAAATTCAGTGGAAATTGCCCGGCTGCCGGGCTTACAATCACAGGATAATTTTATAAGCGTTTTACTCCTACTTGTTTTTTTCCTTTTTAAGTATTTCTTTTTGATTTTTGTTTTTTTCCATGACTTTATGGCTATGAGATGTGCATTTAAATTCGTCAATTGACAGTTTAAACATCTGAAAATTTTTATGGTACCACACTGATTTCTAATGAACTACTTAGTTAGACAGTCCACGTGTTCAAGCCGGCAATTTAAACCTTTACGGATTTCTCTCCTTTTTCAGCGATCATATAGGAGAGAATTATTTTCCGACGCCGCGAAACATCTTCACAAAACCTTGCTGAAGACAGAGGTAAGAACTGGGCGCACGTAACGGAATTTAAAAGGACTGAATTCTTCAAATTTGACCTTGCTGCACAATATTTGCTTTCGTTTTCTCTTCATTACACCGTCAACCGTTGAGTAAGTTGGGTTTGCATGAAGAACAGTTTGTACCACCAACAAAGTTATTATCATCACATCATTTGTTGTAAATTTTTTCAGGCAGAGATTTACCGGTTTAAAGAATTTGCCTCAAAGGTAGAAATCAAAGCTGCCGAAAACGCTGCTCGCAATGAGGACTATGATGATGCACCGGATGAGTTTAAAGGTATTATCGCATACCTTGCGAAAGGATCTTTATTCAGACCCAAAAAAATTCTTATGTTGTGTGGAAATGAAGTTGATAACTGAACACAACATATCAAACAGAACGCTATTCGAAAGTTGTTAACAGTCTTCTCTACGATGCCAGTTGCGATTAAGATTGAGCTGACTGTTTGATGACTAAATCAAGTGACAGCAGGTAATTTAGTGTTAACAACTGGGTTGAAAACGTAAATTAGCCACCGTAAAGAGTAAAAAAGCTGACGTTTCGAGCGTTAGCCCTTCGTCAGAGTGATTCCATCGCTCTGACGAAGGGCTAACGCTCGAAACGTCAGCTTTTTTACTCTTTACGGTGGCTAATTTACGTTTTCAACCCAGTTGTTAACACTAAATTACCTGCTATACTCTCCCACCGACGCAGCACCACAGTTTCTTTAGAAACTTACCCCTTTATTCATAAATCAAGTGACACTTGAGCTACTGCTCTCTTGTTCTATGTCGGGGCAAGGTACTTTTCAACTTGGTTGTTATCGGCCTTTGCTTTCAGGACTTCACTCAACTTCAAATATCCAGTATACTTTTGAATTGGGGTGTTGCTAAATGTTTGCAGAGAAGCATGTAAATGAATTTTTTTTTCGTCACAGATCCTCTCATGATGACGCTCATGCTTGAGCCTGTGATCCTACCAACTAGTGGTAAAATTATGGATAGGGCAGTTATCACGCGCCATTTATTAAACTCTGACACGGATCCTTTTAATCGACAACCACTTACAACTGACATGCTACAACCAGGTGGGTCACACAATAACAATGATCTATAGTGACACCTATTGCTCACTTATTACATACCTTTTGCAAACTAGTTGATTGAGTGGGTTATTAGTTGAAATCAACAGGGTAATTAAGTTTTATCAACTGAGTTGATAACGTCAATTGGCCGCCGTAAAGAGTTTTAAAGCTGAAGTTTCGAGCGCTAGCCCTTCGTCAGAACGAATGGAGCAATTGTGGGTTGTGCCGGTGTGTGTTTACATGCAGAAAATGGAGCTACGCTATTGGTGTAAACATGGTAACGGGAAAACAAGAATTCAAGAGAACAAGAGTTCGGCTTTCCGAACTGCCAAGCCTCAAAATTCTAAAACAAAAATTTATCTTTCAAATCGGTGCTCTTAATCCCCACGGTTTCAACGAGCGCTTTTCATTCAACTAATTTATTCTAGTTTTCCCGTCACCATATTTACACCTCCATTCGGTCTGATGAAGGGTTAACGCTCGAAACGTCAGCTTTAAAACTCTTTACGGCGGCCAATTTACGTTATCAACTCAGTTGATAATACTTAATTACCCTGTTATAATCTTCATCTGACGCAGCACCACAGTTTCTTTGGAACTTAACCCTTTTATTATTTTAAATTAATTGGGTGATCTTCAGTACTGAGGATGAGAAAAAAATACGAAAAGAGCGGCAGTCTTTCTTTTTTTTCTTGACAACCGACTCTATGAAACGCATCCGTTCAATAGACGATACATGAACAAGAAATATACTGTATCCGAAGGCCTGCATAACCACCACAGTGCGGAATAAAAACCATGCATTATGTATCTAATACCTAAACATAATCACTGAATTTCCTGTAACGAATATTTCTATCCCATTGTTAGCGACTGAACTCAGGATACAGATAGAAGAGTGGCTACAAAACCGCCAAAGAGAGGATTAATCACGAGAGCAAACAGTGACCTCTACCAATTTGCTTTTCCACGTTAACAAAGCGTGGAGGATCTCTTTGCTCATCAAGCAAGGAAAAGTGCTTCATTGATTATGCTCACGGGTGTTTTTTTTTTTTTTTTGCCATGTTTTGGGAAATAAAGGTCGATCATCTTCCTCAGTTTACTTTGATCCTTTGTAATCAAAATAAGAGCTTTTTTTAGTTACAGTGGATCTCAAAAGACTACCTGACTCAGTCAAGTACACCGATAATTCCTTTTGAAATACTTGTCAAAGATAACCGCTACTTTTTATTTGCTTGAAATTATTTCAGTCACTGTTTATCCTCTCCGCTTAAAGAACCGCTGCCTTTCTCAAAAAAATATAAACACGAGAAACCATCTCTTGAGTGGGTTGAACGATGTTTCAAAGTAATGCCAATAATCAAGAGGCAGGTTCGTTCCATCAATTAACTACCATTATTCAGCAAAACTATTTTTTATGTATATTATATTTACTGAGGAGAGTTTCAATCAATTATATCTCTTTTGTTTGATGTCCACAAAAAACACTGTAAGGTGGTGTAATTGTTATGAACGGTTGTGTTAGTTTCTATGTCATGTGTTATTGGGTGGAAGGGCTGGGTTATGCTACACGTGCAGACACAAAAATGCCACGATACTACAGTACTCACCGGTCTAGGTAGGCCTCTGATTTTGCCTACGCAAAGGTCAAACGCAAAGGCATATATACACTCAGAGGTAATGTTCCAAATATTGTCTGATAAAGCTGTCGACGACGCCACGATGACGTCGCCGACAGCTGTTTAGGACTAGAAATCGGCCAAGGGTGCTGGGGAGTATCTTTAAGGCAAACAATGGGAGCCAAGTATAACCTGAGGTAAAGTTTGCTGATAAAACGAAAGAATTAGTACTACGTCCAATTTATGAAAAAAATTTTCTCAAACTACATAAGCTTACACTTGAGCATAACCTAAGACATGTTGAGAACAATTGTCAGATTCTCATCTTGTCCGTCTTGGGGAAAAAAGCACTCGGACAATCTCTACGTATCATACGTTCCTTGCATTTACGTATGACATGAACGTCCCCTTCCATATTTGCACTTTCGTTTGCGTTGGTGCATGTGCGCCACACATACCAATTTCTGCTTACATTATAAACGCTGTCTGAGCGTATCCTTTATCGTAGAGATAATTCCTGGATCATTCATGCTGTGAATCTATTCTGATTAGGTAAGAATGAAAACAAGTCACTGAATTAACTCGCCTCTACTTGACCTCTTTACGAATGTAGTCCTTCTAGGGAAATATATAAAAATTATTGCATGCATGGATCTCGGCGAATGATATGCGGCAAACCTAGGTACGGCTTACGAATTACAGCTAACTAAACTAACTAATGTAACGCGTACATTTGAATAGTGAATAATACTGTTCCTTCAGAGGTATAATTCAAATTATTAACTTCGCTCCCAAAACATTTCCACAGTTAGTAAGCCAATTTTTTCAAGCTCTCTTAATAGTACTGCCATTTTCTCCTCCTTTCCTCTTGATCACCTCTCGTACACCTCATATCTTCTCTTTGTTAGTTAATACATCTGGTAAAGTTGACCAGAGAACAGTTGTCTTTACGACTAAACAAAAATAGCATCTTTGGCCACTTATTAATTAGCTTAAGTCCTAAATTCTTTTTTAATTATTTTTTCCACCTAAGAAGCGACAATGTAGTAAGGAACTAAGCTACCACTAGCGGTCAAAACTGAATACTAAGATTGTGTTGCATACATCATCAAATTTAACAATGGAAGAGGCTTTTTCAATTTTCATCGTCTATTGGACGGAGAGTTGAACGATTCTTTGATATCAGCCACCTGACCTCGAAGTGTAACAGCCAGCCAAATGGTTATGATCTGTAGCAGTAGTATGCCGAACGACGAAATTCCGATAGTAATGAGATTGTTTTTGAACCAGTTCACAGCGATCGTCAGACAACCAGTTGTATAGATCCTCTTCTCTCGCTCGATGGAATCCATTCTTCCGACTCCATACCCACACTGGCTGTTAATCCTGTCTTCTTCAGTCTTACAGCATGTTTTCGGTACTCCGCACGCCTCTGCCCCCGGCGAAGAACAGTTGTAGTATAAGTTAGCCTGCCAGTCTTCATGCGAGGTGATTCCGCAACATTTGAATTCAGTTTGTACTGTCTCAATAATCAGCTGCAAGTCTGGTTTATCTGGTTCACGGTAAAGATTAATTGCATCGTTTAATTTTTTTCGGATGTTCTCCTCCACCTTTTCGCGGAAGATGAAGCCCAAAGCGCCACAAGCAACTTCGATTAACAAAAGCACGCCAACAATGATGGCATAACAGCATAACATGCAAGTGTTCTCTCGTAAAGCGCCTAGACATCCGAGGAAGGTAATGAGAAACAATAATCCGCCGAGAATCACGAACAGCACTGCAGGATCAAACGACAAATCGCTCAAACTTTGGTAATCTACGTCTTTGTCGACCATCATGTACACTCCGACTCCAAGGATTAAGATCGCAGCTAACCAGAAAAGAACATTTAAGAAAAACAGCGAGAACTTGATGCATTTTGAAGGATCTTCTGGAGAACTGGATCTTGGACCAATTCTACGGCCTTTGTTTTGCATCTTTATTAAGATGGTTTCCTTATGTTAATTTGCCTTGCGGAAATCTGTTTATAGAGTTGGATAATCTCGGCTGAAATATAGTTTGCCTAGCTCGCTTGATATCCTGCCTTTAATTGCTTGACTAAGACTGAAGATTACGGGTACAGAGGAACAAATTAAATCCCTTTCGTTCGTCTTGCTTGGCTCGATGCTCGGAGGACTTTGGCAGCTGAGACTTGACAAGGACTACAAACGATCCTCGACCTCGTTCGTCTGATTCTTGATTAAAATTTTCTTTTAAGCTCCGAATCAATTGCCAACAACTGTAAAAGAAATACACTGTATTTAGGACCTAGGAAATAAACTTCGTTCGGTAAAAACAATGTTGAAATGTCGCCCTTCTATCACACGGGCAAATATCCCCGCGCGATTTGCAGTGGGACTTGATGACAGCTGCAGAAACGGTTTAAAACTTACCACAACCAAAGGAAAGTTAAAGTTTGACCGAAAATTGATAAAATTGCTAGGAACCTGAACCTCCGACGGGTCGTATTCGATAAAAAGTTGACAGGAAAACTGAATCGATTTAAGTTTGTCGGGAGTCTCTTTTAAAAGAAATTTGCATAAAAGAATGCGCAATATGTGACCAACAGTGTTGATGACTTAGCAACCCAAGAAATCTGAATATTCATTTCATGTGTTGTTGAAATAATTCTCTCCTTAGGCTTAATGACGTCATAGTGTTAAGATTAGATCAAGAGTTTAATGAACAATAGGAACAACATTAATTAAAAGTATGTAGAACTCATCAAAGGTTGCTCTTCACATTTATGTGTTCTACTCAGTCTCTAAGATGGAGTCGCGCGGTCGTTCGCCTAAACCTTGTTCATTTCACGAGGACATTAACGAGTTATTCTTACTTTTATTATTATTATTACTATCATTAAAATTAATGTCATTGTTATCATTATCATTGCTATTATTATTATCATCAAAATCACTACAACTATTATGCAATTATCTCCAGTTTTTTTCTGTTTTTCTGGGTCTTCTAACTTAAGTTCTAGGAGCTCTGGCAGCTTAGGGCCACAACACTTACGCAACTCAAGGGGAGTTTTGAGGATAGCCGACGACTGCGCACCCCCAATTAAGTTAACTGTTTATCTAGCTTCCAATACTAGGTCCCTATTCGAGATAGTACAAAGTGCACGATAGTTACCGCTGTCACTTTTGATGCTCGATGAATTCTTTGACTTCGAATTATACTTTTTCACCTTCTCCTTCTCGGCCCTGATGATATTCTGATCTGCTGACAGAGCTGTGTCAATAAGTGACCACTCCCGAGTGTCTTGATACATTCCTGTAATGTGTGACTGATTGTGTTTCAGTTCCTTCTCTAGGAATACGGTCGAGTCCCAGGTTATCCTCGTGGCTTCATTGACTGCGACTAGCGAGGGTTGATGGTTGCTCCTCTCTCGACCGTGTACTTTAGCATTTGGACAAATATTTCGTTTTGGCTCTTTACCACGAGTAAGAGCTTGTATCTTGGGCTCATTCATGAACTGTCTATTATGTGTAAATACATCAAAAGATTAATCAAACTTTCGTTTTGCACTGATTATGTTTTGAGATCTGCGCTTCCGATTGATCAATCGCTCTTTCTGGTTCAAACTTCAGCTCACATTTGACAATCTCATCAAGGTCACTAAACTATCGTATGTAACTGGGTATAGTCTCCTAGATGATATTCTGGGTGCAGTCTCCTAGTCTCTTAGTCATTGCGACTGCTGTCTCATACCGCAGCGTTGTATGTGTAGTCACTTTCTCTTACTTGTTCATTTTAGAAAAGGAAATATAAAGAAAAGAGATTCGATTATTCATTATTTAATTATTCATTCATTAGCACCTAAGATTACCACTAATCGAGCAAAAAGCTTTTGATTTGCCTCTGAAAATTTTATGATTCTCTAACTTTTGTCTTCCTCTCTAAAACCGGTTCCTTAAAAGGCCTGTATTCTGTGAGCTATCACTTTTAATAGCTTCCTCTTTTACATAACAAAAGTTGTTCGTAGTTAATTAGTGAACCCTCTTTGAGTCCTATGAATGGACGTATGTCCCTCGAGGGGTACCTACGTTTCGCTAGCGTTTCATAGCGACTACAACTATTTGCTTGTTTTGTCAATGGCTACCCTACTAAGCTACATAGCAGCCATTTTACCCCGACTGTTATTTGTGGCTCACAGTATTGTAGCCTTGTGGCTTCTAGTAAAATTCAGTCAAGGTCAGACGATTTTTTGGGGTTTCTGTGTCGGCCTGGTATGCCTGTTCGTGGAGTCCATTTACACCATTCTTGTGCGCAAAGGAGTGGAGTACAAGTAGTGAGTATATCATCTTCTAAATCAAACTGAGTGTTTTTCGAACCTTAACTTTCGCTTTAATTTAGTGACACCTTGGTATGGTTTATAACATGAGACAACTAATCATTACATTGATTAGCAAGGCCTATATTTTTACGGATCACCTTAATTCTAGAACAGCCGAGTGCAGTCAACACTTGGCGTTTTACAATACCTTGAATATCATTCACTCACACGCCTTTTGACTTCTAGGTGACACTTGCTGTAACACTAATCAAAAACTCTTGTATTTATTTAATTTTGGCTTTCATTGACGTTTTTGTAATTTGCGGCGAAACACTTGATTGAGGGATTAAAAATTAAACGCTCTCTCCCCAAGTTTCTGTTTTACGGACGGTTTTAAGGCAAAGTTTTGACAATAATACCTCAACAGGGTGCATGAAATGGTCGAGTTCTACTCGTATCAGACTGGTATCCAGCTTATGGTATTTGGAGCAAACAGTTTGAAAAGAATGTTCCTTTACCTATCCTGTCTGTGTTGTGGTCTTAAAAGGATTAACACTTGCGATCAAACGTTTCACAAATGCATGATGTATTAGCTAGACATGTAATTTATATGAACTTGCTCATGCATCATATTCCGGAGCTTGAAAAGAATTCATATTTCATAACACAATTAACATACACCGATTTTCTGGAACATGAAAGTCCACCATTTGATTCTAAGCTCGTTTGTGAGACTCGCCATCTATACCGTCACCTCAATTTAAATTTCATGGGTTCAGAAACTTTTCTACAGTTCCATCTAGCGTTATGCTCCTTTTCTTTCTTGCCAGCAGATTCGCGAAAGTTGAGAATAATCTAACATCCAAGTCGCAAAGGCAAATTTTATCACATCAAATCTTTTTTCATGTAGGTATGGAAAAACAATCTTAGAAATAAAAAGAAAAAAAGAATCTATAGGAAGCAGATCTGTAAAAGTTTCGACTTAAATACTTAAATTCCTTTCATTCCTTTTATCCCCAGATAAAATAGACTTTCTCCCACATCCGATCAAACTATGATCGCTTTTAATGAAGTGTTGCATTACCAATGGTATCGCTCCGATCGATGAATGCTTGATATCATGATAGTCTATTCAAATTTATTTCCTTTGTCAGAACCGTAAGCTGCCAATTACGGTGATAACTGAAGCTTCCCGGCTCAGTTTTCAACTACTGAGGAGATGACCTGACTTGAAGAGAATTAATGTAAAAATTTTATATTTTTTAGTGAAAAGTCGTGAAAAGCCATCAAATGTTTTAATTAAAAAGAAGAGTATGAGGTCGCTTTAACGCAGTCCGGATGTTTGACGATGTGTTTCTTCAAATGGCATTTATATTAACGGCTAAGAAAGGAGATACCAAAACCACGTGTGACGAAAGTCTCTAAAAAAAGAAACACATTTTCACTTTGTAAGAAGATTCTTAGGACTCAATCTTTCATTCTGTCTCACATAATTTCATTGATTTATTCATTGGCTGCCTATTTTTGTTTGGTAGGTTTTAAATAGGTTTTTAAAAAGTAATATTTCCTCACCACAAGGAGTGATCAAAATAAACGAAACGGCGTGTGAATGGCCTGCTTTGAGGATTTTCCAGTTTTTTTTTTCACAGCGTAGTTTAATAGGGCTTGAAGAAGTGCAGCGGAAACAGTTCAAAACTTAAAACTAAGCCTATCCGAAATTAAGCGAGCGCCATGGTCCTCTAAATAATTATGATTTCGATTTCATGGTGATGCTTGAATAGCAACTGTTATCAAAATATTTAGAAAAGTATTTATCTGACCAGTTTAGCGAGGAAATTTTCTGAGAAACCTACAATATTTGTTTTGATCCACTACGCTGGCGGTTTCATTGGCTTGATCAAGAAAATTTAAATTCATGCCAAGGAATCAATGGGTTAGGTCAGGGTGATATGTTAGGTTTACTGCAGCAGTCACAGAGTATCATTCAAATGACTCTGGATTTTTTCATCACTTTATAAATTTTTCAGTGCCTTAAACTGTTCCAACTATGACAATATATCACTACATTGAAGTTCTAGTCATGCCAAATAATTCCCTGTGCCCTGATTTTTAAGTATACGTAATTTTCTTAGTGGTAGTTGGTCAAATTTTCATTTTCTCCTTATTGCAGCTTTTGGCCAAGTTGTTTTTTCTACCTTTGTACCCTTCTACCCATTACTTGGTTTGCTGAGTTAACTCTACTGGAAGGAAGACTAAATAACGTAACTGATGAGAAAATAATGATTGTTTCTATGGCGCAAACGGTAAGTCAGTAACAGAAAAGAATAAAGCGATACGAGCGTGACTTTTCAATCGCCTGAAAAGTTGGCAGAATATGATGCAAAAATTCGGGTTGAAAAAATCTTAAGCCACCGTAACATCTGAGCTTTCCTGACATAATTAATGAGGACCTCACCTTATTTCAAAGGATGTAACATGCCGACATGACCATATCTATTCGACAGAAGCCTTGCCATTCCAAACACGGCCGCGATAACTGGTTTGGCAAGGAGAGAAAAGGAATCTTTTGGAGAGATACATGTAATTTTACTAGACAAGTGTCGTCAGGAAATTGTTCTCGATTTTTTAACCGTGGCGCAAGCAGGGTTTTTTTACGGAAGGAGGACACCAAACTCAGCAGCGTTTTACTGGTATGCCAGATCGATTTGCCATTTCAAGCACTGAACTATAGCATTTGATAAATAAGTTCACCGAACCAGAGTATTTACCTCAAGTCAAAGAAAAAAGAATAGATTCTTCCAAGTACAATCTATATGGTGGTCGGTTGTTTGCCTTGGCTTCAGCAATAGTGTGGAACTCTCTCACACAGTCATTAAGAGACTGGCAATCAGTTGAAACTTTTAAACGGAAACTTAAAGAACATTTATTTTTACGGGCTTACATGGAAAATTGAATTTTCATTGTTGTTGTACTTTTTGTAAATAATATTTTATTTTCATAGATATAGTTAGGTAATATATAGTTTTTAATCATAATTCCCTTCCGTGAAGCGTTCTTGGACCACTAGGAAAAGACGCTATATAAATGTATTATTATTATTATTATTATTGTTGTTGTTGTTATTATTATAGTCCTGCGATAACAAAAAGACATATAAACAAATAGGTTAGTAAGGCCTTGATGTTTGCGATGCACGAACAAAACTTGTTAAGTTCGTGGAATCATCTTTTTTTTGGTAAACAATAAATGTGCATATTGACTTCCTGCTTCAGTTCTACGTTGGGCAAGAGGAGCTGAAGAAGTTTTGTGAGATTGGGTTGATGTTAATCATCATCTTGGGTCGGTGGATGCTTCCTCGTGGTGCAATAACACGCGACCAGCTGTCGATCCTTCTTCTTGAATACGTGGCCATTGCAGCTGATATTTTAGAGTTGTTCGAGGCTTTTGAAGATGATCAGGTGAGAGAGTTTTATACCATACGAAATGTGTGCAATAAATAAAGGCATCTAAGCAGACCTTTCACACGAAGGACATGATTCCTTTCACCAGTTCCTAATGGAGAGCGACTCATTTGAGCTTAACCTTTGTCTACTTTTTGATTAAAGCAAAACAGTATATGTAACTCCATTTTGGTTTGATTGCAGGTAGCCCGCAATAAGGATATAACATTGGCTACCCTGGGAGTGTTTTCATGGAGTCTTTTTCAATTCACTTTGGTGACTACGTCAATGGGGATGAACATTGAAGATCAAGAAGAAGAAAATCTACCACAAGTATGAAAACAATTCGTAAATTGAGTTTGAACATCTATATTATCTCATTATTTGCTTTAAATTTGCCACTGACTTTGAGAATTGCTTCTCATTTTCTCCAGAATGGAAACTATTTATGGGTTGAAGATGGTTTGAACAGAAGATATCTCCGAAAAGCTTCTGAGGCTAGGAAACACGAAAGAAAAAAACAACGTAGACAATTGTATCAATTGTACAATGAAGACGAAGAAATGAGAAAACTTGAACTCCAAGGAGACCGATATGGTATCATAGCGGCCATGTTTATGCAAGATGGCCCTTTCCTAATCCTTCGACTTTATCTTGTCTTCAAATACGACTTCCTAATAGACTCCAAATTTTTGTTTTACATCGGCAAGAATTTAATTTCCCTTGTTTTGATGATATATCGTCTTTACGTAATTCACTTTCATAGTAAAGAGGAGGAATTCGCCTTGCCAACAAAACGATCATTTCGAAACCTTTCCTCTATGCTGATAGGAGCTCAGAGGTTCAAGTCAAGAAAATCAAACCCAAGGAAACAAAGCCAGCCAAGCAAGTAAAAGACTTGAGCAGGCTGCAATGGATTTAGAGTGTTTCAACAATACTTGCGTGTTAAAGTGGTGAAAATCTGCTTAAGTTGTCGAAAAGGGCCACTTTCTAACAGTCAGTGACCCTCACCCGTACGATCACATTACAATGCCACGCAATCAAATGATTCTTCTCTCTATTTGTTGTAATCTGCTTCTCTTAGCTGGAAGTCAATTGCATTTTATGCGAAATGGCTGAATATAAGAAAAAAGTTTTATCTAAATTTCAAATTTTGTTGAAATAAACACATTTTTTCCTTTAAGTTGAACAAAAGACAAAAAGTATATTTAGATGTCATTTCCTTAATTGGAATGAAGAGTTGCACATGAGTGTTTTTAAGATGAGTATTTCTTCAAAATCATTCAGTTTAGATAGTAGCAGAAATAGTTACAAGATTACTGCTTGTCTCTGGACTAGACTCTGACCATCTTGTGAACATGCCACCAAAGATAATAATCTCCCCTCTAGCAACCACAACAGAATGTAAAGAAGTAGCAGGAAGAGAGCACTGCATTTCTGGAGGAGGTTTCCAAGAACATGAAAAATGTGAGCGTATTTGACTACAGTCTAAAACAAATGTTTGCATGGGCAAAAACCCGTCAAGACCTGGCCTCTGCCCAGCTCCAAGACTGCCTTCAGGAGAGAGTACATGTCCTTGATGGCGAGGTACACTAAACACAAGAACTGTGTCCTTGATGTAGACTGCAGGATGACACCATAACTGGGGAGCTTCCCACTGACGGTTCTTCACTTCCAACTCTTGCCAGATCCATTCATTTGTGTCCAGAATCCAAACATCCCCAAATAACTAAAATGGAAAAATGAACCTTATAAACAAACACTATCACAATTGACTTCAATGTACTACTCAAAGTAAAAAAATATCTCTTCAACTGGAAGCACATTATTAACAAGCACAAATAAATAAATACAACTTATGTGGGCTGAAAATAAACCAAAATGTTACAAAACAGCTTCTAGGTCTCATATTCTTAACCATTATTGATAGCTCTCATGAAATTTATTCTCAAGTTGTGTAGCCCCCAAGGGAAAGTTGATGGTAATGGAAGTACATGTTACTGAAGGCTTAAGCTACTTACAAGGTTTGGGAAATACTTTCCAAGCAGAAAATTGGAAAATAAATGCATCATATTAGATGTTTTGGTGTGTAGTATTGCTGAGTATCTTTACGAGTTGTGTTGTATTTTGCAAGACTGTAGGGTGTGTCAAAATACAAACAACAAGTCAAAATGCCAAGTGACACTACACACCAAAATGTCTAATAAGTTTTTTATTATCTGACTACTTTTTTCAAGCTACGTCTCTCTGTTCATTTCTCATAAGGCAGGAAAAGCAAAGCAAATTGAGAAGCATAGAATACACAGCCAACTGGTTAAACAGGATTTTTACAGTACAAAATAACCAACAGTCCAAATAACCATACAATATTGCAGGATATTTGTACTCTCTTTACACATTATTATACTCTACTTTGTGCAGTTGGATACTTAAAGAGACTTTTGCCTATTTGCTTAAATTTAAGAATAGAGCCACACAAAACCAACACAGTAATGATAGGTGCCAACAGCCTCTAAATTAGTGTTAAATTAATTAAACAAGTCTCATTTTAAGGTCATCAAGATGGGTTTCCAATGATCAAAAATCTACTAATTCAATTTCTTGATAGATTTAATTTTTCAACTTATGTGAAGTTTTTTTTAAAGAAATATTGTAAATACTATGAAACTATACCAATTAGCATTTGGTTCTCACCAAGTTTGGTCCACCACATCCACCAATCATAAGTACTGTGTGATCATCTAACACCATCTAAAGAAGATCAAACCAAGTCAAAATTCATTTTTTTTTTCAAAGCTTAAAACGATTTTAACCTATACAAAGAGATAACACAAGCCCAAGTACAAAGATACAAAATGGTAAATTTATATGATATTTTGAGAACAAGTATAGAGATTGGGTGAAAAAGATGAAATTGCTTTAAGGTACAACACTTAATACTCTCCATAAACTATACCCAATGGTTAGCATTTGGCTGGCCACACAGCACCTTAAATCATCCAACAATTTGAGCATTGTAAAGCAAAAGCTATCAAAAAAAGGCTAATGCAATAACTTTTTACTGGCCTTTGGAATTCCCACTAGAAGCAGTTTGCTCCCTTTTATTATACTGCACCCTTTTCCTGACCCAAATTAAAAAAATTTATTTCCTCCTCTTGTTATTGGTAAACAGGGGAATATTTCTGGTACTTTTGCAAGGCTGAAGTGTCATTGTTATCCTTAATTATTTTGGAGTTTTTTTCTTAAACAATATTCTTTACTTTTCAATAATTTCAAACTGTATTTGTTTTTTCCTTAGGTATATCTTGTTCCTTAGAAATTATCAGTGCTAGTGATATTGTTGATAACCTTACTAGTGAGGATACAGAAAACTTGCTGCTAAGGTCCTGGAATTTTGTTTATCAGTGGTGTATTTTATGATAAAACACTTGGTCCATACAATAAATAAGATTATTACTACAATAATGATAAATACTGTGATTTTGTTACTGAACAGGTAAATTAAGAAAAAAATCCACTGTATTGCATTACAAGCAGGCAAAAAATTTTTCTTGGAGTACATCAGCTTGAGGCATTGAAATACCTGTGAATGGCCAAATCTTCCAGATGGTTTTTTTCCTCTTATGCTGGGACAACTCCATGTCATGTTTACCATGTCTAAAACCCAAACATCATTGAACCTAACAAAATTACAAGTTCAGGTAAAAACACATTAGTGACGGTGACCTGGCTCACATCTCACACGTTTTAAAGTCTTGTTTTCAGCTACTCCTTCTCTTCCTGGAGCTTGCAGCAACATTTACTGTATAGTATAAAAAAAGCAATATTCTGATGGCACTAATTGCATGCTTAATCAATATTGAAACAAAGAAAAGTGCCTAGGAGAAATGCTGCCCAGGGAACCAAACACACAACCTTCAGAAATGTAAACCAAGATTGCAGGCTTCAAAATGTTTTTGATACCAAAGCCACATAAGCCTATGAAATTACTTATTAAATTACAGTAGTCAATGAAGGCCCAATTGAATATACTTAAAAAGACAAAACCTGTGCATTGTTGGTCCTTCACCTCTTTAGAGGTTAAAGTTAGGAGAGCTATCAGGTCAGAAAAAGCTATCAGAAAAAAGGTCAATTATTTTCTCCGTAAATATTACATTCTTAAATACAAACCAGACAATTTGCTAATGCATTCTGAAAACCATAGAATGTATGCAGTTGTTGACTGCTGTTGCTGGATGCCTGAAATACTCTTACTAAGTGTGAATGGGAATAGCAAATAAAATTGTTTTCGTGAAACTCAGCATTTTAATAGTACGGAGAAGTACTGATACTCCCTGATGCGTCCAAGTTACATGACTTTTGTTAAGATATCTGAACTAAGAAGCGACGACTATCTCCCCCAAATTTACACACAACTGCACTGGTCATAAAACTGAAAGATAGTCTGACCTCAAATGTCTTTGAGCTCCTCCAAACACAACCATGCTGTGACCCAAGGCACAAGCTGCATGTCCCGCTCTCTTGCATGGCCGTGGCCCATTTAGGTTAACAGCAGGTGAACTCCATGTCTGACTATGAGTGTTAAAAATGTACAAGTCATCAAAAAATTTTGCTGCAGAATTGATTCCTGTCCTAGCAGGCTGACACCAGCCACCAAATATGACAATATCCCTGTTATCATACGCCACAACAGTTGCACATTCTTTCGGAGGAGGAGGAGATCCTGAACTACGAAGCTTCTTCCACCGCCCTTCCCTTAGATCAAGACAATGTAGATCATTAAAAGCCTTGTTTGATGAGGAGCAACCTCCATATATATACATTTTAGTTCCTATGATACAACAACTGTGGGAAAACCGTGGAAAAGGTGATTCTCTTGACTTTATGCTCACTGTTTGAAAACGTAAATTACCACTTCTCACAGCGTCTCGAAAATTTTGTATGCGTTGATTGCAAATCCTAGAAATCAAACGATACCACAAACGACACACGCATTTAGCGTCACATAAGTCACCATATGGTGACAAGTAAGACATTATCTTTTCAACAATTTCGTTGGGAAGACCTGAAAAATAACATTCGATTCCCATCGCGTCCGCCATACTGTTTGATTGAATATTACACAATAATTCCGTTTAAATGATGTAGTATTCTTTCGATCAAGGTCTGAGCTGGTTCGTACCAGGTCCTCGGTTGAGGGTCGCGTTGAGTTCATGATGTAATTGCATAATTCCGAACAGTTCAGAAGATCGAGGTGGTTTGTAGGGATCGGCTAGAGAAAAGCAACAAACAGCAACCATAAGGTAAAGATAGGCAGTGTAATACGAACTAAAATGACGGAGGAGGAGGTATTTACTGTGGCTCCAAAAGATTCTGAGAAGGATGAGCTTCTTCCAAGCCGTTCAAAATCATCGCCAAGCTCAGGCTGTACATTCTGGTTGGTGTTTACAGCAGCTGTTATAGTGTTCGGCTCGTCTTTTCAATTTGGATATGGTACTTCGTGTATCAATGGACCAGAAACGGTAAAATCTACGGGATACTGCTTTTAAACGCATTGCAATGAACTATTACTTAACTGATGGTATACTATACAAATGTTATTTATGGCTATTTTATTTTTGAGTTAATTTTCTTATTAAAAAAAAGACAACTCTATGTTAGCGTGTAGAGTGGTATGTTGCTTGCACCAATCAGATTGCTGCATAAGGGTACATATCTCACACCTATCAGATTGCTGCAGTAGGGTATATATCATGCAACAATCATATCACAGCATTTGGATATCTTGCACCAATCACAGTGGTAGGGTATGGTCTTTTTGCAAATGATGTCATGGAATGAGGGGGCTGTGCACAGAGAATGACAATAACCAAAAATTTTGGGCTCATTTGATGAGTATAACAGTTTGTAGTGTTCATAAGGACCTCATTGATTAAGGTCGAGATTTATCACAGTATGAAAGGTTTGCATTTAACCTTTTGTGTCATTTCAAAGTTGAAACATGTTTTTCTGCTTCCTTACTCACAATGCACATACCAACATGTGTGACAGAATTGAAGTTCGCTTTCTGTAGTAAAATTCACACACTGTATGACAGAATTGAAGTTAGCTTTCTGTAGTAAAATTACTTGGAATAATACTTTTGAGGCAACTAACCGTAGACGAATAATAGAGGGGAATATAGGGCATTGTGTGACAAGACCAAACAACAACTGCAAGGAGACAACAGTAAGCATGGCACAGCACCAGGTTCATTCACCACTTTTAATTACATCCATTCTGAATATGCCAAATTCAATCGCTCAAATACAGGATATTTTAGTCTGTACTAACATTTTATTATCCAGTACTGAGCTGGTTTGTAAAAATTTGCAAAGTTATCTTTCATTCTGACTGGTTACTTTAAGCCTCAAAATCTGATTGGTAGATGTGTTTTGTAATAATTGGTTTCTCACTAGCTGGGTAAAACATGCAATTTAGAGCAAAAAATTATACATTTTGTGAATAAATTACACTGATGAGAGCCAATCAGATAGCAAGGATCATCAGTGATTTCAAAATGGATGTTGTAAATATAGTGCAGTACTGATAAATGGATTTATGTAATGTATTTCTCAGCCATCAGGTTTTTTTTGTGGATATTGCAATTTTTATTTGCACCCCCAAATTAATGAGGATAGTGAAGAGGAGAGAAAAAATGAGGAGCTGAGGTGCATCTTCATACGTGTTTTTGATTGCTACTTTTTGTTGAATGCATGTTCTTAATTTGAAAAAGATCCAGCCTCCTATCATACCTATACCTTCGTATCACTTGCTCATTCACTGAGCAGTTAGTTTGTGTGGCTTTTCTTATGTAGTATAAATATGTGTTTACTATGACTTTCATTTCCAATAGGACATAAGAAATTATTTCCGTGAGAACTCGAGTTTCAGCCAGTTAATGTGGTCCACTGCTGTGGCAATTTTTGCAGTTGGAGGAATGCTTGGTGCTCTCATCGGTCCAGTTATTGCTGATTCCCTGGGCAGGTAATTTACCCCTGTATTTGCTTTTGTGTGGTTGTGAAGCTGGTGATGCAGAGGACTATGACAGGTGATATTTCAGAATTTCAGCCAGTTATTGTCAGAGTCAAGTGAACTTTTTTTCTTGTTCAATTGGAAAAGCTTAGCTTGCTTGAACTGATTGTTCAATTGAGAAAAGAGTCTCATTGGTTATTAGAGGTTTAGCTGATTGATAGCTTTTTGTTTTTTTGTGTTTTTGTTTGCTTTTGTTTGTTTTTGTGTGTTTTTTAGTGTTTTTGTTTGTTTTTGTTTGCTTTTGTGTGTTTTTGTTTGCTTTTGCATTTTTACCAATATTACAAAGACAAGATGTGTACTTCTCCATGAAATTTTCAGATGGCTATCAAGGATTTTAATATCAGAGGAAGATTGAAAATAGAAATAATATTTTGCCAAGGGGTGGAGCTCCATCATTAAAGCTGTTGATATTTTTTTCAGGTTATTTTTAGCATGATATTTATAAAAGCTAAGCTATATATAGATAAACAAAGATGATGTACTCATAATCATACAAAAATGTATCTACTTTGCTTTTGATGACTCGTTGATTTTACATGATCTGTTAGTCTCCTTTAAGAAACTCTTTCCTGGTTGTTCACTTGGTCGCACAAAAGCAAATCATTTTGGGATGATAGAGCCATGGCCATTTAGCTATAATCTATGGCTAATAAAATTATTGATTCACAGCTGACATATGTAAATCAGTTATGTTTGCCCCGCAAATTGAAAAATTGACGGTCAAAGAATGCATGTGGCTACTTGTATAGCATGATTTGAAAAGCATTGAAAAGAACTAGAGGTTGTATGATGACGCTAGAAGGTAGTTTTGCAGAATGCTTGTCTCCCATGCAAAACAGAAAACTTGACACATCCTACATATTTACAAGTACCCTCTTCCATAAGAGAAAGATGATTCAAGAATATATTGTCTAATTGACATTCAACCAATAATTAAACAGGAACAAATAATAATACTAACGATTATAATAATGGTAGCGATAGCAGTTTAATAAAAATTTTCAAGGGGCTAGCTTCATGGTTCCCCAATCCTCTGGGCTCCAACAGTAGGTACCTGAGCTTCTTTTTATTTCCCCTGTTAATTATAAATAATTTTCTTATTTTATTGCGATTCCATCTTTTGGGACTTTTGTTTCATAAAATAAGACATTTGGCATTTTAGGATATTTCATTAATTCACATCTTAAGATATTCTGCTGTAACTAGTGATTATTTTCTTGGTAACCCAACATAATCAGTGGTATTGTTACTAATCTAAAGTATAGTAGTAAGAAATATTAATTTGTAAGGAAGGTTGCATGTAATTAGTAGCATTTAGTATTGCATCTTTGATCATATTATTTAGTATTGTATCGCCACTTTGTAAATATTGTTTTTGTAATTGAAAAAAAAAATGTTTTAAGACTCTTTGATAGATCAATTTACTTTTGTCTTATCCAGTAAACGAACTTTGTTGCTGAACAACCTCCCAGCCATGGTTGGATCTTTGATGATGTTTTTTTCATACCATGCAAAAGCTCCTTCATTACTTGTCATTGGACGGCTTGTGGTTGGATTTAATGGTGGTAAGTTTATTTCTAATATTGGTGTACTTATTGTAAAATAACTGCACTATACACTTACCAGGACACTTTTGTGTTTAAAATCTTGTGTAAAATTTGCCAATCTTTGCATACCTTATATCATGACCTCAGTATGAACTTCAAGATACATCATGTTTATTGGGAGCAAGGATAAACCACTCTTGGGAAGTGTTAAAGGTATAATATTTTACCAGTCAGGGATGGTTTTTTAATCCTTTTTATGTACCATATAAATTAATTTGATCATCAACGTGGTCTGCCTTTGCGAGCATGTGTGCTATGTCAAAAAAACTGTTGTCACTTTGCAAGGTGCTCCACTGTTGTCTAGCTGTTTACAGCATTCTATTCTGTTCTACCCTCTATGTTATTATATATGTGAGATTGAGTTAGTGAAGGAGCGAGTGAGAGTCAGTGTCTGTAAGTAAACAGGGAAAACAAGGCCCTTTTGTTGAAATGTATGTAGTGAAGAAGTATGAAATTTGTAGACTGAACTGAGTTTCTGCCTTGGTGTCCCTTTTTAATGAAACTGAACATTCAGTACAGGGGAAGACTGAGTAATATAATGTTTGCAATTGCAGATTTTTAAAATTCTTAGTTTTTATAGTATAGTCATACATATATATGTATCTTTATGTTAAAGAATGTTGATCCATAATAGACAAACTAATAGTAAGGATAACTCTGTTATGAAAAATTTAAAGTACATTAAATAATACCTCTGTTTGACAGTACATGTGGATGTAGAAGCAGCAAAACCCAGGTACTTATTGCTGCTTTTAAATGCAGGTGTAAATACAGCTGTGGCCCCTGTGTACTTGTCAGAGATTGCTCCTGTAAGATTAAGAGGTTCTCTTGGTGTGCTTAATCAATTTGGAGTTGTCACTGGAATTCTTGTGGGATTTATATTTGGACTTACTCAGGTATGTGCATAAAATCAGGGTGTGATTAACTATTTATAATAAAATTAATTTTTACATGTCACTGTATACATGAAAATAATTTCCAAAATACTTCCATCCATTGAGAATAATATTATTAGCAAAGCCTTCAGTGCCTACATGTAGAAAAGCCCCATAGGTAAGAGAATACAGAACCATACATTAAGCCAACATCTTTGTGCATCTGTCCATTCACACTTTTTTTCAGACTGTGTCCCACCATGTATGATATAAAGATTTAGCCAACCTGAAAAGCAGAACTCCAATTAATTTATTTTACAGCCTTTCTCTTTTTTAAAACTCTTCAGCATTGGCTGTTGAAGTGCTTATTTAAGGGGGTTTAGGAAACAGTCTGGGAGGGGAGGGGGGGGGAATTGATGGGGTCTGGAGCTAATTGATGATGTTCTCACAGCTTGCAAGGAGATCAACATACATGCTAGTCAGTGGTATTTTCTAAAAGCTGAAGACCTTTATTGATTTTCTTGATGTTTTGACCAGATTTTGGAGGATTGGGAAATTTTCATGAGATGAAGTGTATGATTTCAGTATCAGTTGAAATGATATGATCTACTTTACAGAGCAAGGCTGTTAATTTCAATGTGGGAAAATGAGAAAAAATTGAAAGATACAAGAGATCTAGTATCACATGTACATGAGCACATACTTTTAGACATAATTTGCACTTGCCTTCTTAGAGGTTATTTTTCTTCCCTCTCATCCCTACCTGTGCCTGGTTTTGCTGGTCTTAGTATCTGTCCAGGTGTTTTATTTCCCAGATGGCTGGCCTTTAGATTTGTTTGTTAATATAACTATGTTTGAGTATTATTTTATTATTAGCTTATATCTATCATATAGGAGTTATGTATTTGTAAAAACATTAGTGAATTAGTAATCTTGTAACAAGATTATAGTTATAGGGCTATTCGCCTTTTTACTTAGCCTTGTCTTGTTCTCTTTTGCGTTCCTCTCACTGTGTTCGTCCTATTTTAGCATCCTTTCTGACTCTCCTTTGTGTTTTTCTCTACTCATTCTTCACTTTTCACTTCATGCTCTCTGGTCATTCTCTCTTTCCAGCCTAAATGCACTCAAAACCTTTTCTCCTTGAAATAGAATAATTTCCTCTGGTTGACAATAGCTTTTATTAGCTCTGAGTATTGTAGATAAGCAAGTTGATTAGAAATTGCACAATACCAATAATTACTGTTCAACTACAACCTCACCAGTATGATTTCCTGCTCAAAATAAAAATGTAGGTTATAAGTTCTTTGCTTGCGATCTCATTAATGTGATTTCGCACTCATAGCACAGGTTGCAAATTCTTTGCCTGCTCAGCTTCACAACCTCTACCCCATGTGGAGCCCTCTAACTTCTTCATCATTTACCCATGTTTCCTGGGGCACATGAATGGGATATCCCATGTTGCACCTGTGTATTACCTTGTACAGTTGGTCATACAGTTGTAAGTCCAAATTTTTTTGGCTTGATGGGTCACTACTATTTTTTATAGTTATAGGGCTAAACTGGGCGTGTTTTGTGCACTGCAAGCTCTACTATCATACACACCTATACATGCTGAGCACACAAAATATGTTTTTTATATTAATGTTTCCATCGTGATAAAAATTTTGGGGATAGTAGATGAAAAGGAAAATAATATTCTTTGCTTGTAACTCCCATTACTGACCAGGACAGAATTTCTCCTTACCTTGTTGAAACAATGCCAAACAGACTAGTGATGAGAATAAAGAAAAATATAAATTGGAGGATTAGTTGTTGATCCAATACCAAATTCTCCAAACTCATATCATAAGAACTGTGTAGCAGACTGAATGGAGTATTGCTGTGAGTGAAAGGGATGAATAACTGAATCCCCAAAAAGGTGTAAACCAAAGTCTAAACAGTAACAAAATGATCTTTCAGCTCAACTCTGCATGGAATGCTGCTAAAATGTCATTCATTTGAAGGCAAATACTGTAAACGTCCATGTATAAGCTGCATCCATAGATAAGCCGCACCCCCGATTTGGAAGCGCAGAATTTGGAAAAAAATAAAAACAATACAGTTTGAAATTTCAGTAGAGTTGTATTGATACAAACAATCAAAGTTTCAAAACACCGACATAGAAGTTGTGTCTATCTTTCACATTTATCAAGTCTAAAGAAAGTGAAACAGAAAAGAAAACAAACAAGCACTTAGTAGCAAAGCTTTAAATGTTGGGATGAGCCTGGGCTAGGGCCTGGCCATCGTCGACTCAGCTGTTCAAGGATACCACGTGAAACAGATGTTTGGAAACTTGCATTAGGCGAAAAACTTCATGGAGAACAAGAGCCTGATAATGCGGTCGACAAATTTGCCATGAAGGTAGCAAAAACAACGAGAGATTCCTTGTATGTTGGTGTTTAGTTGTTTAAGTAAAGTGAAAATTAATCGCTTTAAAGAACTCTTGGATAGCAAGATTTGCCGATAAATACTCCAAGACACAAACGGCTCCTTTAGCTATACATGCTCTCAGTTTCTTTTATGTTTATTTCATGGCATCTTAAGAAGTTTTATGAATATTAATTAGGTTTTTGAGAACTCCAAACACAGATATATCCATGGATACGCCACACCCTTGATTTTTGGCTTCAATTTAATTTGTGAAAAAAAGTGCGGCTTATACATGGATATTTAGGGTAACATTGGAATGCACCTAACAGTAGAAAACATTGAAGTGTGCTCTGATTGGCTACTGAAACTCTGCATATCCATAGTGATTCACCTCCTAGCAAATTACCTGAAAATATTGCAATAATCCCAGTAAAAAATGAGCTATATTTTTGTGCAATATTATCTCATTGTTTTGGTATATTCTAAAACAACTATTCAGCTTAGTGTCAGTGACTAGTGATGGATATTTATCACTCCCATTTTAGTGAATAATTGTTAATTATTTCTTTATAATTATAATACATGTATATACCTTTAGACTGAGGCTTGAATAAATTAAAGTGCTAAAAAGAAAACGTCAGAAGGAACTTCAAAGGATGCTCCAACTATCAAGGGGGTAACAACTCACTAAATATTTTGTCTGTTGATATGCAACTTAGCTTGAGAAAAAAGAAAAGCTCACAATATGGATAGTTTTGATTGATGCAATTTTCATTATTACCCATTTAGGATATTCATAGGTATTTTCAGTTTGTAGCTGACTGCCAAATGCCTTGGTATTACAAAGCCACATAATATGACAGTCTAGCTTTCAGCATCAATGTTACATGTTTAATTGATTATTTTAACATCCAACAAACTTCTCTCAAGTGACTTTGTTCAGTCTACATTGCAGGAAGGGTGGGGAGGGGGAGAATTCATGACTGTCACAATAGTTTGTAGATCATGAATTGCAGCACTTTCTTCTCATCGCAGGTATTTGGCACAGAAAGTCGCTGGTCGTACTCAGTTGGTTTTGGATTTGTTGTAGCACTACTGCAAGTCTTGACCCTCCCATTTTGTCCAAGAAGTCCACGTTATCTGTTACTCAAACTTAACAAAGAACCAGAGACAGTGGAAGGTATTGCTGTATTTGAAATCCAGTCACATCTTGTTACTTTACCAAGTATACAGTATCAATGTTTCAGGGTTTTAGAGCTGATTGGCCCACAACCATTGGGACACAGCTTGTCTTCTGTAGCACTAGTTAATTATGAGAAAGGTACAGTATAATGCCCTTTTGCATTGTCTGGCATTTTTCAGACAGTTTGCTGGTCCACCCATGTATATGTGTACTGTATACTCCTGGGTGGAGAGATAGAGGCACTATCAGAGTTAAGTGTCATTCCTTTTTGCTTTACAAACATTGCCAAGAGTACAAAAATCTCGTATTTGGTGGAGTTAACCCAGAAATTGAATTTTCTAGTTCATAGGTTTATCATATTTCCCTTTTTTTCAAAGTTTGATAAGGATTCCAAAATAAAGAAAAAAGAAAAACTGGTCTTACAAAGACTGACATTAAAAATTGGAAGCCCAAGACATTCCTTATAGGAACATGTACATGTACAGAACTTAAAGAAAACTCTGAAATAAGGAAAAAATGTAAAAAGCTTAATTCGGTGTTAATTTTATAAAATCCATCAGTCAGCTCATTGGTTTTTGCTATTGCTAACCACCCCAAGCATTGATGAATTTATCTTGTGTCCACATTTTTAAGACAAAAAAGTTTTAGGAATGTAAAAAGTTTGAAATATTTAATATGTTTATTCTTTCCTAGGAAATCATTTTAAAATTAGGCTTTTAAATTAAGGTATGAGATCATTTGATTGTATTTTTTTAAATATAGCCTTGACAATGCTTAGAGGAACCAGTGATGTAATGGTAGACATTCAAGAAATGAGGGTAAGTTTTTAAATAAGTTATCTTTGAAAAAAGGACAAAAGGTAATCACCGACAGATCTCTAAAGTTTTGATATTGTTTGCATGCACTTTTAAGGTACACTTAAAAGTAGTTCACTCAATTAATTCACCAAAACAGACTGAAACTCAATCTTCCACAAGGTTACTGTAAGAGTCACTTAACAGAAAAGGTTTGATTCAGATATCTTTCAATAAACCACAAAATTTTGGTGTCCCATCAATTGGAATCATTCCTTGCAAAAAACTAGGCATTTCCAAGTTGCAAATGATGAAAGAGCTTTAAATTGACAACTGATTAATGTGTTCATTTTGGTCTGTTCCTGGCTGACATTTCAAGTGTTAGCCCTTCGTCAGAGTGAATGGAGGAATTATGGGCTGGAATTATGAGTTATGAATTATGAATTATGGTGGGGATATGGTAAATAGAAAACAAGAATAAATTAGTTGAATGAAAAGTGCTTGTTGATACTATGGGGAATAAGAGTGCCGATTTGAAAGACAATTTTTGTTCTAGGGTTTTGCAACTTTCAGAACTGCCTAGACGTAGGGAAAGACCACAAACTGCCATGTGTTGCTTAGAATGATTAGAGAGATTAAAGGGTCTAGCGACTGGTTTGGATGTGTCTTTGTCATTTCTTTCTACGTTGGGAAGGTGTTCTCAGAATCGGACACCTATTTGTCCTCCTGTTTTACCAATGTATAACTTTTAATAATAAGGAAGTTGGGAACCCTACTTCCCTCAATTGAAGTCTCTGGTAATAAATAAGTGTTTTTTTTAATTTTATGAAATGAAAAAAGTAGAACTGAAAACATTTCAGGGCTGGTGCAAACTTTCTTGTCTTAGCCAAGTTAAATGCATTGATTTGACCAGTCAAAGAAACAATTGGGGAAAAGAAAAACAAATGTTGAACTGTTTGTTAACTGACTACCATAATCACATTGAAGAATGCAAACAATTGGTCTGATGGTCAGGAATTAAAGTTGCACTTACCTGACCTTGAGAACACAAGATAGTTAGGAATGCTTGATCATAGGTTTACCTGAACATATACACTTGAGTCTGTATTAAATTTTAGATCTGTACAGTGAAGGTTAGTATTCAAACATAAAAGCTGTTGGATTTACAGATTGAACAGGAGCATCAGCTGAGAGAAAAGAGGATCAGTGCCTTTAAATTAATTACAATCCAAGCACTAAGAATGCCACTTCTTATCAGTGTTGTGTTACAGTTAGGACAGCAGTTGAGTGGAATAAATGCAGTAAGTTGAAGTTGTGCTTATGGTATGTATGATGTTTGAATCACCTATAATAAGCAGTGGGAATAAGTTTCTAAAGAAGCTGTGGTGTTGCATCAATTGGGAAAATTACGAGTGAGATAATTTGGTTTTAATTATTAACTAAGTCAAACTAGCCCCCGTAAAGAGGTTATAGAGGTGAGATTTTTAAGCATTAGCCCTTTGTCAGAGCAGATTTGTATTTGCTCTGATGAAGGGGTAACACTGCGAGCATCAGCTTTAGTATTTCTTTACGGTGGCCAATTCACTTAATCAACTCAGTTGATAAAACCAAATTATCTTGTATAACCAGTAGTGTTTCCCATTTTTGTGTTATTATTAATATCAGAAGAATATTTGGCTAAGACAAGTTCACATCTTGTGGTAACCTTGGGGATGGGAGAAATCCTCAATACAACTTATGGCATAGGTTGGCCAGGGTATGCCCATTTTATCAGCTCATTCATGCTGGAAGCAATGAATGAACTGGTATCAATGAATAAGGTATCATGGTAAAGCAGATGTTGATAAAAGTTACATAAGTTACAACTTATGGCATAGGTTGGCAAGGGTATGCCCATTTTATCAGCTCATTCATGCTAGAAGCAATGAATGAGCTGGAAGCAATGAATGAGGTATCATGGTGAAGCAGATGTTGATGAAAGTTATAGACTGTGGATACAGGTATTCTGTAAACAGAACTAGTATTGTAGACTGTGAATGGAGGTAGTCTCACATGCTACCCCTCCCCACTTATTGAAAGTCAAAATTAATTTCAATGAAGCTCAGAAACTCAGAAATAAAATTTTTGTATAGTTTAATAAAAAATGATAACCTCAAGTCACATTTCAAACTTCTAAAAATGCAACTTGAATTGAGAAGCCAAAATGTTCACTTCAACACATACCGTAGAGGCAGCCATATTGGTAAGCCATGCATTTGTATTCATCTTCAGTTGGTATAAAGTAATCATTCTTCTATCATTGTGCTTTTCTTTGGGAGCTCTCTAACATACAGTCCACACATCAGTCATAGCGGCCAAGATAATCTCACTAAAATTTTTTTTGAGTTCCAACATTTCGGTCTAGACTTGAGGCTTGCTTAAACAAAAACAGCAATACCAATCTGCTCAGTACAAAATGCAAAATGCAGACTGCAGACCAGGTGCAAAATGTAGACCAGGTACAAAATGTAGACCAAAAATTTGTACTGTTTTTTCATCTGATATGTTATAACATGTCATATTACAACATACCAAGCATTACGCAATTGCTTTTCCGTGATCATCTTTCATGATTATTTGCACTATTATGGAATATCCCTTGACTGTTTCTTGATCACAATCATTCTTAATATAATTTTAAGCCTTCATATAGTCTTCTCACTTTGCGTGTGAGTTGGTTGGTGTGATGTCGTAACAGATTTTACCTTCCTAATAATAGTAGATGTAGATGTAAATGAGATGTCACCATTGAATATTTAACTCATGTAATATTCAAGAAACAATTGACAGCTTTGCATGTGGTCTGTACATTTCATCATTCTTTTTAACCAATATGAATTCATTTTGTTGACAGAAATGCTGACTGAGACTAAAACTGTTCCTTCTACTTGATTTACTTTCAACATTCAGGAGTGTACAGTGAAAATCAGTCCACATGAAGGCTTAAAATTCAATTAAGAATGATTGTGGCTGCTTTGTTAAAAACCAAATGCAATGACTGCTTTGTTTAAAACAAAAGATATCAAGGAATATTTCACAATAGTGCAAATGATCGTGAAAGGTGAGGGTTACTAACATTTTGCTACTAGAGCAACATTTGATGCCTGATTATGCCCACCAAGCCCACCCTCTGCCCCACACACACGCACCAACAAAAAGGACACAATCTGCCTGATGACCCTTGCCCATTACACCTCTAGCCCACACAACTTTTTTTCCAATTCCCATCACAATGAATGCACAAGTTTTCTTATCACACAACTTCCCAAAAATAAAAGTAAATTTATTCCATAAGTCTTAAACGTTCACACAAACCAAATTCAACTGTACCTATATTCAATAAGTCCAAGAACTCAATACAAACTTAAGCCATAACATGAATGAGCTGGCTCCAAGAGCCCTTTGATTAAAATGATACTAAGAACAGAATGATATAAAACCAATCTTAAAGCCATGCCATACACAAAGGCATCACATGTCTCTCAGAAATGATTCACCTGCTTACTTTTACAGATTGTTGTAGTTTTGCAAGAAGTATACTCTCACTTATACTTGATAGAATAGGAAAGAGGAAAGCTGGTAAATTTTAAGCTTGCTTATGATGAAAAGAAGGATGTCTTTTCATCTGTTTCTGGGTATGGGACAAGGAAAAACTTGGAGTCTCACTACCACTGTGCCAATAAGAGACTCTATGGTGAGCTAAGCCATTACTAGGTTTCTATGTGACACATCTCCTGCATACTGCTAGGATCAGCAATGTTGAAAGTCTTAAGTGAGTGTATGTAATAAGAAAGATCCCTAGTAACTGATGATACTGTAGTTTTAGCACTAGCAGTGAAAAGCACTCTTTTGTCATGTAGGCTATTCTGTTCATGCCAACTTAGTATAGTTGCTGATCTAATGCACCTCTCAAAAATTTAATACCAACTACTCTCTACCCTAATTTTATTCTATTTCTTTCTTAGGTGTTTTATTATTCAACATCAATACTTGAGAAGGCTGGTGTGGAAGAAAGCAGAGTAGCCTCTTGTGCAGTTGGTGTTGTTAGTGTGGTTATGACTGCTGTCACAGTAAGTTTGAAATGAAATGTTGTGATGGATTTTCTTTTAATATTTGTCAATTGTTTTCAGATCCCATTTTTAATTTTTATCTCCTAAGAAACAGTTTTAAATCAAGAGAAAAATTTCATCATAAATGTTTATGAATTTTCATGAGGAATGCCCCTTTCTAGTAAGAAAATGCACCCTTCACTTCTAAAATCTTCATTCCCCCACATTATAAGGGAAATGGATATTTATTACCAGCTATAAAATTAAACCACATCACTAAGCACATGCAATATCAAAATTCTAAGTATTGATTATTTAACCATAATAACAGTTATTGCAAGCCTCCTTCCTGAATGCTCATGTTATGGTACAATTTAACCAACAGAAAAAACACTATACTCCTGAAAACCCAACTACTTTATTAAATAACTTGTAATATCCTTATATTAAATAACATGTAATATCCTTACTGCATGTGGAGTGACTCCTAAAAAACTCATCTAAGCCCACTTCAGATAATGACTTTGCTCACTGCTGACACAAACTTACTTAATTGAAATGAACAATCCTCCACAGTAGCTCTTGCTCATTACAGCTTTCCAAACACTCTGTCGTTCCTGACAACAATAACTACTACCACATGACTGAGTCTTTATATACATTCACAAAGTATTCTAGAACATTCCAAAATGTAGAAACTTCACTATGGTATGCATTTCAGCATGACTTTGGCACTGTAGCAATTTCTAGATACCTATCTTCACAGTTATTATTCATAACATCTAGAAGGGTGGACTGAGTATATTTCCCCATAAGTGATTATTCCATACCTTTTGATCATCTTTTTCACTCTTTCCGTATATTTAGGTATGACATGCTCCTGAAGTGACCTACCATATCTTCAAGATTTTTATCTGACCTTATGTGTTTCCAATATGATGCAATTTTTAGGTTAAAACAGTGGAAATTATTGGAAGAAGATCATTGATGCTTGTAGGATTTGGAGGAATGTTTGTGTTTTATGCTCTGATGACAATATCCTTTCGTTATGAGGTAGGGAGGAGTTCTTTTGTCCATTACATTTGACCATACTAAAGTGGGTAACCTCTATATCATGATGATCTTTTGCCTAAATAATGTTCAAGATGCATCTTTTTATTTACAGAATTTGTCTGGAATGAATTATGTATCTGTCATAGCCTTGTTGTTGCTTGTGATATTTTTTCAAGTTGGTCCAGGTATGTAACATGTATGTAACATGATTATATGTTTCATGGTTCTGCATCTACAAAGTGGATATTAATTAACAAGGGATGAAAATGTATGGTTATCATAAATAATACAACACCTGGTTTGTGGTTTATTTATGTTTTATATGGAAGAGTTTATTGCAATCATTTCTGTTCATGGTGTATTATGGTTTAATCAATAAATGAACAAGTTTGAAGGGCTGGAGGTTCTGATTGTAACTCTATTCACATTGTTGACTCATTGTTCAGCTGATACTGAACTGCTAGCATAATGTAAAGATACAGTATGAAAGGAACAATACTCTAAATCTTATAACCCATGCAATAATTTTCAAGGGATTATATTGGCTACTTAATGTTAGTATTCTGTGAATAAATACCATGTTGTAGGGGCAATTCCTTGGTTCATAACAGCTGAGCTGTTCACTCAAGGCTCCAGAGCTGCAGCTGTTAGCATAGCAGGTACCGCCAACTGGCTTTCAAACTTTGTGGTTGGACTTGTGTTTCCATCAATGCAGGTACAGTGATAATTATTTTTATTATAATTGGCATGTACAGCACTTTCCTATCAGAATGCCATATTTATTCAATCCCACTTTTTGAGACTAAATTTTTCTTACATTTAGGATGCATTGTATCCCTATACCTTCCTGGTGTTCATGGCACTAGTGGCATTCTCTTTTGCCTTCACGTTACTTTTCGTTCCTGAGACTAAAGGAAGGACTATTGAGGAAATAACAAGACTCTTTAAACGTAAGGATGAGGAGGGTAAGTATCATAGCAACAGCCAGAAAATATAGATTAGGATACCGAGTAGTGTGTGAAACACCACTTTACACAATGATTAACAGGCTCCACTGACTGAACCCTCTCACTCGCAAGATCACATTAGTAATTCTCCTTGTTGTCTTTGCAATAAAAAATACGTGGTGATAATTGTAAATCGATATTTTTCTGCCGCATCTTTTTGTCTTCTTGTTAGCTCTGTCAGGTTATTGACATTTTGAAGGGAAGGGGGACCAATGTAGTGGATTTCACATAACACTCGCAATTTGGAACACTGAATGGTGAATATGAGAGTGATCTTCGCAGTAATGAACACTACTTAAGCAGCAGTGAAAATAAAGGCCTGAAAAAGATTCAGGCCTCTACGGGATTTGAACCCATGAGCCTTGCGATACCGACGCAGTGCTCTACCAAAGGAGCTAACGGGCCAACAAATTTAGAGCACTGTTGTTTAAAACTGGAAGTGGAGTTAGATGAATAACATGAAAACCGTACTCATTGATAGCAATTGATTGATTTCAATGCTGAAAAGTTTACATAATGTAACCTTGCAGGAAATACTTCAAGTTCATGTAGCTGAGGTAATAGCAGAGAATGGATCAACAGAACTTATTAATTTAATGTACACAGTGACTATGAATGTGGTACAAGTACAATAAATAATCAGGATAGAGTTATTAAACGTTATTAATAAGAAAGGTTCGAGAAATGCTAATCAATTGATGTGCTCTGTCGCCATTGGAATGAAAACCTTTTACCTTTGTTTTTACGTAGATCTGTTAGTTTACCTTGGTGTAATTATGGAAAACTATTTGATAAATTTTACTTGCTGGTTGGTTAGTCTTATATATTATACTTAATGATCGATGTAATGAAAAGATATTTATCGTGCGATGCCGGCACTTATGCTGTCATATTGGAATGTCTATGTTTACTGTTGTTGAAAGACTTAAAATAGAAACATCTCTGAAATACCTCACGGCCGTTACATGATTTACTAGATACAGAGTAATAACGTTTTGACCAGAATTCAGTCTCGTCAATTACTTCAACTCTTTTGCGTTCTCTAATTCTAAAGAATAATAGTTTTATACGTATAACTTATTACCGCAGACAATTCTATGATCTTCGGCACTGGTTGCTGCATGAGATATTTTTTTGAATCACGTGTTTTTTATGACATAAATTTAGTTAACCAGTATCCCAACCATTCCTTATAACTCTAATAACTTTCTTTGAATTGAGTATTTCGCTCATTTTTTCCTTTAATGAATGCTCTCTACACAAAAGAATTGTCACTTATGTTCTACACACAAGGATAAATTTTAGAACGCTAACTATTGATAATATCTACCATAAAAACTATCCATTTTTGTCAAACAAACCATTCTAATCAGAGTTAAAACTGATTATCTCTCTTAAATGTGAGAGGCACGATTTTCTTTATTCGACATATAGCTGCAATGATCACATTTGGGGATACACATTTCCCTTAACTTGGAGTGTTGTGTGAATCAAGTGCCTTACCCCTGGACATTGAAATAGTACTGCGTACGGAGTTGACCTTTATTTGAAAGTACCGATTGCGTTTCGAACATCCTGCCTTTGTTTTAAGCAATAAACTGCACTCTCTATTGGTTTATTGGCGTTATAAACCCACCCTGAATATTGAGAGAAACAGGAAAAAAGTTTGTGTTCTTCCAACATCCCAAGTGGTTATTACGCTTCTAAACCCATGGAAAGTGCGGTCTATTACTTTATAAATTTAACTTACATGTTTCCCTTTTCTCTTGGTTTACCGGTGCAACAAACGAAGGGTTATATTAAAGTTCTATAGGCAACCAGGTGGACAATCAGACATGGTTTGATGCCACTCTGGTTCAAAGATTTAATGAATGTAACCGAGAAGTTACAATTCATAGACCTAACGTCTTGACACTCCTCCAACGTTTCGACACGACAGGATTTTGACCAATTAGGGCACTAGTAATACCTAAGTTAAAGTTCAATTACAAGGTGATGTCTCTTTATTGGTTTTATGTCAGTTCTTTTATATTTTTACTTAATGGTCAATGGGATGAACTTGTGAATTTTAATAGAAGTGAAGATTGATTAAGTCACGTAACAGCTGCAGGTGCGTGATAATACATCCCCTCATACCATCTCAGTTTTTTCGGCATTGTCATCTGTTGTTGACAATTCCACTTTCACTCTTTGTTTTTGTTGGTTTGATTTTGTTTTCCATACGTTCCACGAACCTCGTTTTCTCCTGTAGCAACACATCGCGAGTAGACACAGAGCAAATATTAAAACGCAGATTAATATAATTACAAGAATTGTGATGAATCCCATTTTATCTTTTTCTTTTGTTTCCTTTGCTATAATATGGTCTTTTACGGTTGTTTCAAGAGTGAATATAAGATATCCAGCTGTGCTGTTTTTCGATGATGATGATAGCGCCATTACTTTGACCTCCATGGTGTCTAGCTCCATGGTTGTTGAGGACTCCACCGTCAGATTTGCCACTATGCTCTCGTTTTGTTTTAGAACGACCTCATCTGGAGTTACATGGCATGTAAGAGTACCTGGACATGACACCTAATGCGAATGAATATCAAACACGTAATCAACCAGATGATCAGTCAATACATAAATTGTATCCACTCTACTAATGAAACTGCAAGGAAAAACAAATTGAGAAAGGGAGACTGTTTACCTATTAATGGACCTGTAAGACTGGTAATTGAAGGAACTCAAACGTTGCCCTATTCCCATCAGGCTTGGTTCAAAACAAACGTGTAAACGTGCTCATGCAATTTGGGAGTTATGGGCACTAATGATATTTTCGAAACTCAAAATTTCAGGGGCCGTGGACGAGTACAATTTTAGAACTTCGAAAACGTCACGAGTAATTTTCAAAGGGCCCTGATGTTTTAAGGCAATTTTTGATATAGTGTCGCAAGTATTCCGGAATTGCTTTTCTCCGCTCTATAATTAGCGTAGAAGTTCGCGCCACTTTCTCAGCCAATCAGATTCACACCTTAATCATGTTTTCCTGCGCATAAGGAAGTTTTCTTGTTTCTGCTTTGAGGTCTCATATGTTCCTTGCTATGTTTCCCTTTCAATTGCGCTTTACAATAATGTTAATGTCAGCTACGCCTACTTATTAAAGCTTTGAGTTAAAGATTAATATGACTTTCTAACAAGTATAAAAGCAAAATATACAGAACGTGAGATGAATGATAATGAACTATTAACTTATATAAAAGCCCTGTTCAAACGGTCACGATAATAGTTTCAATAACCACGCAAGTTTGAACATTCACACCAAAGCTTAAACATGTTTAAAAGTTGTTTTGTTAAACACAGTTTAATTTTTTTTTCTTCATAGAAACTATTTAACCGAATGCACTATCATCAAGTATCATGTAGTTAGACATGTTCAATTTGAAATGATAGTTGATGATGGTTTTTGCTGTTTGAACAAGCGGATGATAGTGAACGATAGTTCATCGGTCAGCAGTTTTGCAAAAAATGGGCTCGAACCGAAATGGCAAGAGATAAAATGACTAAAATAGCCGTCAAAATTTCGCAGAATGTCTTGTAGTTGACTCTCATCATCTTCAGTATCTTCAACTGGCGACTACTCCGCTAAAATTTCAAATGCCACCGAAATTGCTGACCTCAGCCCGCGCCATATTTGTTTACAATTACGCGATCTCGTTGCGTGATTTTGTCAACTATCATGAACCGTTTGAAAACATCTTAGTCAATGATGATAAATGATAGTTGAAACTATCATGGAGTTTCAAACTATTATGACCGTTTGAACGGGGCTTGAGTAGTAAATATCTGGTAAACTTAAAACAGTGATGGAGATGTTTAGTCGCTTACTAACCTTAAAAGTGAAGTGTTGTCGTCGACCAACGTTAATGACTGTAAAGGTTTCACTGACTATGGCTCCTGTACTCATCAACACCTTACCACTCGACACCACGCTCTTGAGTGCAGGAATGACTTGAACTTTTTTGCTGAAAAGTTTTATCATCTTGCTACTCCAATTTGGTAGTGCACTGACCACTATCTCCTCTTCTGAGGGGCGATTTTGTTTAGTGTTCATGACGAGTTTTAATACAGTTGTCTCACTGTTGTCTAAGTTGACTGGATTTGGTACAAACCGCAAATAGACGTTATTGGAGCGGGAAGCCTAAAACACAATATAACAATACACTAAAAAACGTGTCGAAGACAATAATTCAAAGTTACGTGTAATTTGATCAGCGACATGAAGAGCCATCATAAGAAAGTGCATGTTTCCCAAATATCTTGGTGCTACAGGCTGAGTTGACTGAGCTGTGCAGCTTGTACATACCTTTATATTAAGCGAATAGAAAGACAAAATAAGTTATCTTTACCGCTTATTTGCAAATAAAATTTTGTGGAGTGGTCATTAAAAAATAGAGCCCTTTTGCTTTCAATAGTCTCAGTGAAATAGGCTTAAACTAAAAAACGGGCATAGTCGAGTGATATGTAGAGACAAAGAGGTCGCAGGCAGACGGCAGAGAGCTACTGGGCAAAACTTATCACTTACTGATACTTATTAATACGTGGTATTAGTCAACAGATCGAACTGTATGAATTTCCTTGTGTTAGGAGTATGCATCTAAGTTAATAAATTCGGTACTCGGGATTTCGTTGATCTAGCAACTCACAATAAAATTGAATGTTCCTGTTTGGCCATGATTTTTAACTTGGAACAAGAGCTCTTCTTCATCTCCATAGTGAATTATAAGGTAAGGAATATGATCCAAATCGGCTGTAACATTCCATCCAAGTGATGGCCCAGTTGCTTCTGCTTCAACAATCACGTCCACTTCCAGTAAACGTATTTCTGTAGCGTCGATATCAGCCGCAAGAGGTACAGCGTCGACTAAAAGGCTTGTCTTATTAGACCCAGTCTTTTTGCTTCCTATCAGGACAACTTCACATCGCACAACTTCTTTATGATCCATGTTAATGTTTATCGGAGTGACGAAACCAATGCAATACTCACTATCCGATACTTGTAAAGAGAACGAGCTTTTCGTTCCGAGGTTTGTGATGTTAAATTCAAGTTTAGACTTTTTTCCAACGAGGACGTTCAGTTCGCTGAATTTTATATTGGGTTTGATGTTTATGATTGGTGTCACTGCACTTAATTCACAGACAGCTGTGTTACCGTTCTGGTCTACGACGATTATACTTGCTGTAGGATGGCAACATGTCGATGTGTAGACACCTGATACTGATGAGTTGAACATTCCTGTCTCATAGGGACTAACTGTTGGTTAAAAAAAGACAGATTTGATTACGATAAGATAGCATTTTTTCCACAATATTTATTAAATGATAAATCGACAGTGACTGTGATTCTACAATGGAACAAACGAGCAAAGATGCTCTGACATTTTTCAGTTATTCACGGGATCAATCGTACAGCCAGGAAACCCAAATTTCGCCGACTCCATGTTTGTGTGAGTCGTGATTATGAGACGTGGACCATGATATTAAACCTTAGATAACGTCTCACAAAGCATTGTCGTGAAGAGATAAATACAAATTAAACTCTTAAGATCGTATTTCTTAGTTTGAATAACATTATTAACACAATGGATTGAGACGGATCGAGCATATATTGCTGACTGCTGGAATAATCGTAATGCAGTTTCCCTCAGAGTCCGTTTTCGCGAAACATAGAGATTCTTCACCTCGGCATGAGATATTTAATCAAGCGATTTGTCACATCTATTTTGAAATCACTGTGATCCTTGCAATCTGATTGGCCCTCACCCGTGCG